GTTTCATGAAACACTACAGGCACAATATTAGGCCGTTTGACTTTCTCATTACGAGCAGGAAGGGCAGCGATGATCAATAAATGATTAATGCTCAAGGTGGATTTACATCTGCAGGGACAAGAGGAGGAGGCCTGAGACAGCCATGAGCGCGCGCTAAACACACCTATAGGAACAGGTGATGATCATATGCTTATTTTCTGTCTCTGATTTTTTTTTTTAGTCCGCTAAGAAAATCCGGATCGTCACACTTCCTTCCTCTCCACCCCTTCATGAATCTCCAGGCCTACTGCTACCCCCCCCCCACCCACCCTTCCTCCTCACCCTCCTCCTCCGAGGCATAATTAATTGGACGAACTGAATTTCACACACGAATTATTCACGAATCTATCGATCGATATTGAACACCCAGGGCCTTTCTCTTAACCTCGCTTGGTTTGTCGTGAAGCAAAGAATATTAATGTCATCAGCGGAAGAGAAATAGATAGTTATACCTTTTATACGAGCAGCATGGAGACAAGTTTAAGAGAAAGGATTGCTCGTCTCGACGGCCCTTGGTTTGACTTTAACTGAACTTACGGGAAATTATATTACAAAAATAAAATGTAAAACAAAGCTGCACTCAAATATAGCCAGTCTAATTATTTATCAGTGTTTCTGGGCTATGTGAGGAGCCTGAGGGATGCATTCAAAGTAGGTCAGCTCCACATAGAGAGTAGAAGTCATATTTCTGTGAATACCGCACGTGCAGTACGATCAGCAGGGTGTACAACTCAGAAAACACTCAACACCTGACCAGGATTTCTGCTCTTGTCCGGTGGCTCTTTGTGCATGAGTTTCTGTCCGTCTCTCTGCTCAGTGCCTACTGTAGCTCTAAAAGCTGCAATGATCGATTTTTTTCTTTTCTACGCTGAGCTTGGTTCAGTAATCAGGGCCCCCTTCCTCACCGATCGATCGATATTGATTACTAAATCCAGCGCCTGTAGCAAATGCAGCGCACTTTGGCGCCCCGTGCAGCAGGGGCCACGGCGAGAGCGACACCTGCCGACCGGCACGGCACAAAGCACGCGGTGGGGGGTGGGGTTGCAGGACGTGACTTTATGGTGGTCAGAGGTGCAGAGTGGAACCAGGACTGTCGGAGGATGTTCTGAAGGCACACACTGTGGCTCCATTTGAACTGCTTCTTGACAAAACGTACTGTGGGGACTTTCATCTGATTAGGTCTCTTGATCTTTAAATCTTCTGGATTTAAAGAGTTCACAAATTGCAATAAAACAATCTTGAGTTTCTCCAGTTTTTAGCATACAGATTTGTCATCAAACCCTTTAGATTTTAGAAAAATCGTATTTTCTATGGCTCCATAAAACCATTTTTTTTCACTCTGTAAATACACATATTGTGACAGAGAGGCCATATGTGAATAGTAAACAGTTCTCTAATCTAAACTTAAAACTAAACTATTTGTAACTCTTTTTGGAGCTCAAATGATTCATTTCCACTGCAAGAGACATGAAGTCTGTAAATGCAACACTTTATATTTTGAGGTATATCGCTGTGTGTGTGTGTGTGTGTGTGTGTGTGCGTGTGTGTGTGCGTGTGTGTGTGCGTGTGTGTGTGTGTCTGCGTGAGTGTGTGTGCGATTAAACCTCACCTGTGCTAGGTCACACTTCCTGAGAAATCACAGCAAAAATCAGTCACGCACAGGAGGGAAGTAAAGGTGGTATTCAGGTCAACCGCAAGCTGTATATAGAAATAGATACTCAGAGCTGACTTCATTATTGAGATAGTAATAAATCTATATTGATAATAACATTAATTTTATTGTTCCAGAAAGGAAAACATGAAGTTACTATAACAGCTTGGTCTACTGGTAAATGTGGCTGCATCAGTTCCTGTACAAGACATATGTAGTCATGTAAAATTTTACATGATATATACAGTATGTATTATACATATATGTGTAGTATTAATAAATGTATCATTGGACAATAGACAATAGAAATAGATATTACAATGTTTCCTTTGGTGGCGACTCCTTTTGCTTCACAGGCCTGGTTTAGAGCTTCTCCGCATGTTCAGGATCTTTCTCCTGCTGAGAAACGAATCCTCTTCATACACGTCAAAGCAGGAGGGGATTGGAGCATTGCTGCTGAGTAGTTGTAGCTTCGTGTTGGTCAATGGGAAGCTGATGCAGCACAAGTCCCAAATGTGGAACAAGCATTCAGGCCTATAAATAAAACTGTGCCTTGTAATTTACACATTTCACCCACATTTGTTTCTTGGAAGTGGATACTTTTAAGATTCTGAAATGATTTCACCTTGAATTATAAGTTTGTTATTACAGTTAACCAAAAAAAAAAGACAGCATGTGTTAGCTTTGCTTTGGAAAACCTAACCAATAGTGTCCAATTAAAATGTATTTTGTACTTGTAATGATTTCACCACAAAATTGACCTCAAGATATTCTAATTTCTGGTTTAATTTAATTTCTTGATACTGACAGGCTTAGCTGGAGAACACCATGAAACACTAAATAATAAAAGATAACAATACATTTTCTGTGTAATTGTGAAAATGTATGTAAAATTGAGCCAGTGTTTTGTTCATAAGTAGTTTGATAGTTAAACGCATTCTAATTATCTAAGGAGCATTCATGACCAAATGACGCATGGAAAAAAAGTCTGTTGTATTTTTTTTTTAATCTAAAAAAAAAAAAAAAAAAGGTTTATGTATGCCAGGATGACACATTTTTGTCAAAGATGTCACCATATAGATGAGTGACAAATGAAATATATTTAATCCATTCCTAGTTTGAATCGGCCCCCTTGATATGTGGCTGTAAATCAGAATTACTTAAGGTGCTGTTATTTTATTATATTACGAGCAACTTTGCAAGAGAAAAATACAATAACAACATGAAGGTATTATTTAAGTAAATGTATGCATTATCAACGTCTAAGATTTACTTTCGTTAGCTTTCATTGTCTGTCCCGCTGATGTATCATCTGACCGACTCAGTCAATTTAAACTAAAATCTGAATTATGAAAGTACATCATCATCCTCGGCCCTCTGCTCATGATCACGACTACCTTTAATCTTACAATAAATCAAAGCATTGTATATCCTGATATACACACTGTAAATGCAAGTACCATATTAGCATGTGTGTTTGTGTGTGTGATATATATATATATCTAGTTGCAGTGTTGATGTGAAATATGAAAATGATGGATGGGCCTGTGTGCAGGTTAGACATCTGTAGTAAACAGATTGGACTGCAATGGCTGATCAATGGGCTCTGTTCCACTGTAATTAGACACACAGCGCCACTGCTTGGCTCCAGCCACTTCAGCATAATCACAACCTTCCCTCCAAACACACTCACAAACTCATACACACGCACACACTAGAACACCAGAGAAAAAAAATCTGTCCTTAAATGTATCAAGATTCACATACACACACACACACACACACACACACACACACACACACACACAGCGTGGGAGTGAGACATTATTGAAGGCGAGTATGAAAGTATCAGACAATACCAACTGCAGCAGGTGTAGACCCCACAGGGATGGCATCTTTCTCTCTCACTCTCTCTCCAATTTGCTACCGTTCTATGTAGACAGTAGGGAGGCTGAGAGGGACACACAGTCTGTTCTGGCAGGATTCGATCCTCAGTCAGCAGGGGGACGTGTGGCTGCAGAGGTGGAGCCTTAACCTTTCTCACAAACACACACACACACACACACACACACACACACACACACACACACACACACACACACACACACACACACACACACACACACACACACACACACACACACACACTTCTCCTGCTACATCATCTCTGGACACCGTTTGTGTCTTTTACACTGAATCCGTCTGCGGCTTTCCACTCACTTCCCACAAATACTTTGACTTACAACACGCTTACCCACAATACAACAGTCAATTAACTATTAATTTCTGTGTTTTGCTGCCTACAACCCCTGCACCCCCCTGGACCCCCCCCCCCCCAAACCTAAAAGACTACACTCGGTGTGTTTCTTTTGAAAACTGCTCTATGATGGGAAGGGGCTCGTAGCAGCCTGTGCATGCACCTCTCAAGTGTTTTGGGAGGGGGGGGGGGTTATAAATACCCTCTCAGAGCTCAATAGAGTGGGCTCCAGTGGGCTCTGTTTGAAGTAGCAGACTGTAGACCTGCTGGGGGGGGATTCTGACCTCAGTCCCTATAGAGAACCCCCCAATTCCTACAGCAAAGTCGGTCAATATCTCTTTCTCCTTCACTCGCCGCCCCTCCCTCTTCTTCTCAACCTTCCCTTTCGCTCTCATACACACACACACACACACACACACACACACACACACACACACACACACACACACACACACACACACACACACACACACACACACACACACACTTTGTCTTACTCCTCCACCTTTTCTTTTCTTTTCTCTCCAACCTTTTCTTACCCTGTGTCGGCCCCTCCTCTATCTCTCATTTCCACACACACACACAAAATGCTTACTTTTGTGCAACAGTCACTCAGTCCCCCATTGCGACTCAAACTGCATTAATATTGAATCAAACAGCAGTGTCTCCAGCTAGCAGGCAACAGCCAGTCCCCCCCCGCCTCACCCCCCACCTCACCCCATCTTTCTCTCACCGCAGGCTGGCTCCCTGTCTGCACTCTGCAGGATGGAAGGAATATTCCCACTGGGCAGGAGGCATGGATTAGCTTTAAATCAACTTTAATATGGCGATAGAGATGGAGCTGTAGAATCTCTGCTGCTGTATAAACCAGTTTTTATGTGTTTAAGTATTGGCTAATGATACACTTAGTAACTTTACTTCCCTCCACCTTCTGTCTTTGTTTTTTAATCAGGAAAATAAGCACTTTTGTATATTTACCTTGCTTTGTGTTCTCTTTCCCCTCTGCCTCCCACTCTCATCCCCATCCCTCCCACCGCTGCCATCCACACCAAGCCTGCAAGCGCAAAGAACAGGAGCAACACAAGGACCGCAACACGGCGCCCAAGAAACAACGCCTGGTCTTCACTGACCTGCAGCGCCGCACACTCATCGCCATCTTCAAGGAGAACAAGCGCCCATCCAAGGAAATGCAGATCACCATCTCCCAGCAGCTCGGTCTGGAGCTCAGCACCGTCAGCAACTTCTTCATGAACGCACGTCGCCGCTGCGTGGACCGCTGGCATGACGACCACGGTGCCAGCCCAGGGCAGCCGGGCACATCCGCCACCACCTTTTCCAAGGCCTGAGAGGAGGAGGGGACGTTCAGAGGGCCAGAGAACCAGGTGGGAACAACAGGCATCATGGGAAATTGGCTGTGAAACCTGCCTATAACAACCCTACCTGGTTCTGGACCATCTGAATGAGTCCTCTGCCTGAAAAATCCTTTGTGCCATGCAATCATCTTTTTTGTCAGTCAGAAGTTCAAGCGCTCACCTGCAACAAGCATAATCTAAAAGGTGAAAGGTGAAGTCAGGTTCACTCTGCATTACAAACACAAGGACAATCATTGATTCTGTCTTTTTGTGAAAGAAAATCATTTTTATGGCATCTGAGAAAGTAAAGAGACACCAAAGATTTGATGTTTTTGTTTGACGTTACCAGATTTTCACCGGCCTCATGCACCACCTCAGTTTCCACTGATTCTGTTTCTTCTCCCCACTCACCTCCTTTGTGTCTGCCTCTTTCGTCTCTCTCTCTCTCATCCTCCCTCTACACTGGCACACGGAAGCAACAAGGGCGAAAAGAACGGCAATAAATCTGACAACAGAACAGCACATAGCCTTATTATCCGAGCTCCGTCCTGCACACACAAGGCCATCATAAAGAAAACAAACGCAGCCTGTGAAAAAATAAACAACAAGGCTTTCTTATTCTCCGCCTCTACCTCCCCCCTCTCCTGTAGTCTCCTTCATTCCTCGGCCAAAGGTATTCCCTGATGGCCAGCCATTTCAGAGAGCAGCTCAGCCTGATCATACGGCAAACTAATGAATTGAAAAATGAATCGATGCAGACAGAGAGAGCGGGGCCTTGACCCCTCCTGAAGGTGAAACTCAAGACGCTCGGCAGTAGATACTCAGGTCTTCCAGGCCCAGGTCTATATTTTTTGCACAGATGTTGGAGGCCTGTGGGGAGACGTGTCATTATTTCTCTTAGCCCGAGCCTAGAGTCTGTGTTTCTCTGACCAACAGGAGAGGCGGGCGAGATGTCTGGACATGCTCTTTGTTCTGCAGGGAGCTCTTCCTCTGATCAATAACTGAGAACCAAGCGACAACAACACGATTGGGCATCGGGCCAACTACATTACAGCTGCATATGAAAAGCAGAATGAAAGAGGAGCACACAAAACCCACTGGAGATGGGGACACAAAGGCCTCATAACAGCAGCAGCAGCAGCAGCAGCACACCTCTCCCTCCCCGGCCCTGCCTTTACTGGCAGAGCAACAGTGCCCCCTGCTGTTGACAGCAGACCTGAACCCAGTTGAGCATCACAGGGCTTGGAGAGAAGGAAAGGGAGGGAAGAGCCACTAGATGCTGAGGAGAAGTCATGGCACAACACAGTCAGGCCCTCGCAGCTCTTTGAAGGCAGATCAATAGCTAACCATTATCCTATTGTTGTTCCTCATCCAACCAGCACTGGTGAAGCCAGAGGAGGGGGGATGGTTAAAGTGAACACTGAAACACGCAGGGATTTAGCAAAGGCAGGGATTTATAAAGCCAATCCAAATGTTAACGAATCCACAAAATTCAAGTACAGGAAATATACGAGAGGGGAAAGAAAAGTACAACAACCAGTGCTGACATGGTCACATTTGAGATGCAGCGGAGGTTTGATTTACATTATTTTCCGAGGCTTCATATTTTGTCTTTTTTTCATCCTTCCATCTCATCTGTTTGAAAAGAAAAAAGGGGTTCTCAACAGATGTTACTCAAACAAAATTCTCTGGTTATTCCCACACAAGGGTTATCAGTAGCTATCCCAAAGCTAACCACCACACTCAGCTGTCAAAATGCTACAATAATTAGTGCCAATGCTTACTGCCTTAATGCGAATCAAAGAATATGGTACTAGGGTTCACACACAGCTACAGTGTGCCTGGATGATGACGGGCAGTGTGTGCCATAGCAACCAACAATCAGCTTTTAACTGAATTAAAAATATACTTTTGTAGTAAAAAAAATGAAAAAAGAATCAGATTTTAAGGCATACAATAACCAAACCTCAAATGACAAAGATACCACACACACACACACACACACACACACACACACACAGTACGTGTCACAAATACAAATAGGAAATGTCTCCAACACATAATGGACACATTTTAAAGCAGAAGAAAAATCTTTCATTCTATCTTTGGTTCTCTACCTCCTCTGTCCTTCCTAACCCCCATTGCCCCCCCCCCCCTTCCTCTCTATATTGATGCGGGTATTTAATTAGTACCATAGACACAAAGTTTCTATTTCTTGTTACTATTGTGCTCTGTTGTGCATAAGTAAGGCACCTTGTTGATAAATCGAAAACAAAAAAGGAAGGACTTTTTAAAAGGAAAAAAAAAGAGGGATGCAAGGAACGAGGCCAATGAAGGATGTATTTTTTCTTTTTTTTGCATTCTGTGAATAAAGACTCGGATGAGACATTTACCATGTGAAAGAGAGAAAACGTGAAAAACAGGGAGCTGCTGAAGAGAAGAATAAATGATGGACGCTCTCTCTCTTTTTGGCATCTCATGTCAGAACTGTGGTACGCTCACCCCCCCACCCCCACCCCCCTTTAAACTGAGCCCCAAGATATGGGGTAAAACAGAGGGGCACAAAACATGACCTCCAAATGTCCTGGCTCATTCAATGTGTTCTATTGGAGAGTGGGTGGGTGGGGGTTAAGCTCTGGACTCACTAGTTTTCTGTATGGTCTTAAAAATGCAACTGTAGCATTTCCAACAATGTAGTCAGATTAGCGGTGCAGATTAGATAAGTGATGGTCATTGTAGAGGAGTCGACTGAGAGGTACTGACTAAGTTCACATTGCTGTAAGCAGTGAGTTAATGTCGTCAAAGGATAATGAGCTAAACATGGATTTGTGGTACACAGTTCAGTGAGCATAGGTAAATAGCTAGATTCAGCTGTTAGGCTGACAAAATGACATTTGTTTGTAGTGAGAACCAATGTGGCTACCTCACTAAGCTGAGTGGTTTGTGAAACCGCCACTAATACCAAAGAAACTGCAGCCTACCGGTCCCAAACTGCCAAGGGGGAAACACAAACCAAAAAAATGGAAAAAAAAATACAATAAAAAAAGCTCCCCCTCTTTGACCAAACCCGTTACATCCACACAGATCACATTACATACACACATATACACCATTGTACAAGCAGCGCAGTCAGACTGCATTGTGCCACATAGGATGAGGTGGCTACCTTGCAGACAGAGTTGAGTGCCTTTTCCCTTCAACCACGGGTGGGACTGCACTGGACACACACACACACACACACACACACACACACACACACACACACACACACACACACACACACACACACACACACACACACACACACACACACACAGTAATGCGGGTGCATGCATATAGTTGCACACCCCTTTACTAACATGCACTCACATTCAGACAATGCACATATAATTGAATGGACAGAAAGGGGGGCCAAAGAGAGGGACACAGAGTGGGGTGTGTGTCAGCGTTTTCTCCCATATTGACTTTCCATCTTGATACACTAGAATACAAGCACTTTATCATGTAGAAAGTCTATAAAACATTTTCTATACACTATTTATTTGAAACAAAATTATATGTTACTCCTTAATCTGTCAGTCTTTGTTACTGTTCTGTTGATCTTCTGGTAGCTCACAGCTTTTTGTGCTTTTTACTTCTTTTTTTTCCCCCTCCGCCTTGTGTGCTCAGACTCTCAGCCACTTTCGCTCTCTCTCATCAGAGATATTTTTGTGAAACAGAGAAAGAGGGGGGGTAAAGGGGCTAAGGCTCTGAGCGCCTAGAGGGCTGTAGATGTAAAATTTTAACACTTATATCTCTTTCTTCTTTGTTTTTTCATCTCCACTGCGTGCAAGCACAGAGGCTGCACTGGAAAAAGAGTGGAAGACTTACTGACGGTTTATAGACACAATTTCTCTCCTCCCTCCACCTCGTCTGTCCAGTCAACCTCTCCCCCTGGCTAGTACTAAGACTCGGTAGGCGTGTGTTGACAATTAATTCTGAAATACCTCAAAAACCTTTCATGTAAACTTTATGTAATTTAGACTGAAAATAATACTGCTAATGATAACAATGATTATGAAACTATGATACTATGATAGTTAGTTTTGGAACTTGTGACTTGAAGCTTTATACTGTTAAATTCCTTTTATTTGTTTGCTCATTTTTCTTGTATGTTTTCTTGTTTGTTTTTGCTACGGCATGTAATTACTGTTTTCATAAAGGAAAAGACATTGTGAATGTTTCTGTGGAGGGTTACACGAGAAAAGAAGAGACAGAAGAGAAGGCTAAAGTAGAGAGAGAGGAGCAGGAGCTACTCACATCCGATGTTTAGTTCAAAGCTCTCCGAGGCGGGTACATTTAAATGAAAGAAGAAAAAAAAAAAAAACAGACAAAAAAGAAATGACAAAAATGTGATTGAGGCTGAATTCTAAACCAAAATCTGATGTTATACCAAAGGAGGAAAAAACCTTTTACTCATTGTTAGCGTTCTTCTGCCTTTAAGTAGTCTTTTCTCTGAAAAAAAAACAAACAATTTCACAGTTACTTTTGAAGGTTCCTGGGTGTGTCCAAGTGCTCCTGATGTTCTTAGAATATTAAAGACCAGCACCTCCTATTGAAAAGAAGGTGCGCTTTTTTTTTTTTGTGCATGGATATTGTATAACTGTATAGAAACCAACAGGAATGACCTGTGATTTTGTGGGGAGAGGAGGATGGAAAGACTTGGGAGTGGGTGGACAAGGGGTGGGGGATATTTTGGTTATCAAAACAAAAAACAAGGGTGGTAGGATTTGGGTTTTAGGCGTTGGAGGGGTCCTTGTTTTTAGAATTTCTGTCACTGTTGGATTCACTGGTTGTGTGCATGTGTTGTTGCAACCCGTCCCCTTTCCCCATGTTTTTTTGATGTATATAAATCCAGACAGTAGGGGGCAGTGTGTGCTGGGGGAGGTCAAACTCCTCTCCTCCCAATCAATAGCATTCTATCTTCATTCCTCAGCTTGCGGTCCTCACTCGGGTCCTGAAATGTGTGTCTTGCTTTTCCAAAGACGGGCTGTTTACTTGGAGTTAATCAGAGGGACACACACAGGCGCGAGCGGCCTTGAATACACCTGTATGTCTGTCTACATGCTTTTCTTCAATCTATGTATGTGTGTTCATTTGTACCTATGTGGAAGGCAAAGTGATTTTTTATGTTCCTTTATTATGGGTTGCAATATTTGTCATGCAAAACTTTGAAACCATTTCTTAC